ACCCTAAACCCTAAACCCTAAACCCTAAACCCTAAACCCTAAACCCTAAACCCTAAACCCGACCTGCAGGCGCTGCATGAGGGCCTTCTGCGGCGCGCTGGGCTCCAAAGCCCCGCGGCCCAGCAAAGCCCCGAAGTGCTCCAAAAGCTTCGAAGGATTATCCAAATCAATTTCCAAAAAGTTCTTTTCCAAACTTTTTTCTCGAGACCGAAACTGGGGGGCCCCCCTGAGGGGCCCCACGCCGGGCCCGCCGCCCCCGGCCAGGGGGGCCCCCTCCCGCACGTGGCAGCTGCCCCGCCGCTGCTGCTGCTGCTGCTGCTGCTGCTGCTGCTGCTGCTGCTGCTGCGGGCGCCAGGCAGCAGCAGGCGGCGGGGGGGGCCCCAGGGGCCCCCAGGGCCCGCAGCAAGCCACCGGGGCCCCCGAGGGGCCCCTACAGAAGCCCGGGGGGCCCCACAGCAACTTCGGGGCCCAAGGGCCCCGGGGGCCCCGGGGGCCCCGGAACTGCTGAGGAAGGTGGAGACCAGTGGAAGGCAAAGAGCTTGCAGGACGTGACCAGTGGACCACTGCAGAGGGCAAGATGGGGGGGCTGGGGTTTGCTGCTAAGCAGCGGTGAGCTGCTGCAGCTGGGCCCATGCTGCTGCTGCTGCTGCTGCTGCTGCTGCTGGGGGAGACTTTGCGCAGAATTGGAAACAAAAAAGAAATGTAAACAGAAAAAGACAAAAGGCCGCGGAGACATCTTTCAGTTGCGAGTGGGAGGTGGCATGCAGCTGCTGCTGCTGCTGCTGCTGCTGCTGCTGCTGCTGCTGCTGCTGCTGCTGCTGCTGGTGCAGGGGCCCCCCAGGGGCCCCCGTTGCTGCTGCTGCTAAGTTTTCCGGGGAAAGAGATTTAATTCAACGAAAAACTTCAAATTAATTTTTATAAAATGAATTTTATTTATTTATTTGAGAGATCTTCACTTCGCGCGAAGAGCCGCGCCGGCCGCGCGCAGTGGGCAATGATGTTCAAGTTTCGATTCTGCGAGTTTCGCAAATTTGAATTAAATGCGAAACTGTTTTCTGAAAACTGTTTTCTGAAAACTGAAAAATAATGCAAATTAAAAAAGAAATGGAATTAAATTCAAAAGAGAATGAAGAATTAAAGCTCACGGGCTCCAAAAAGATGTTCCAGTGGCACTTTTCGGGAAGCCGCGAGCGAGGCCTGGTGTTCAGATTTTCAAGAAAATTAAAAATCTCCAATTACTTTTTAAAGTCTAATAATGCATTTATAAACTTTTTCTCGATTTAAATTGCCGCTTTCTCGTTCAAATAAGCCATTAACAGCCCTCTTGGCGGCTTTTTTTGCAACTCCTCTTCTCCGAACTGCAGCGAAAAAGATCAAAATCTGCAGATCCAGCTGCGAATTCAACCCCAAAAGGTTCTTTTGCTTTTTAAAAACACAAAAAGAGAAAACTTTGAAAGTTTGCGTCGCTTTAATTCTGACTTTGAACAAAAGTTGCACCGAATGGAAAGCTTTCCCGAAGCAATGTTTACCAACTGAGCAGCCGGCTGGCTAGGCACAACAACATTACTATTAATAATAACAATAATAATAATAATTAATAATAATAATAATAATAATAATAATAATAATAAATGAAGAAATATGGGAAAGCTTTGACAGCCGCTGAAACCCGTTCTGCGGTGTCTGCGCATATATCTGCGCGCACGCAGCAGAAAAAGCTGCAAAGTTGGACGAAAAAAAGCGACTTTTCGGGTTTTGGACTTTTCTTTGAATTTCAAATTTGAAAATAAAAAATGTTTTTGTTTTTGGCGGCGTTTTTCGCGGCTTTTGGCGCCAATCTGGTCAGATTCAACTTGGGGTTTGGTTAGTAGTGGTGGTTTGAGAAGTTGAATTTGCAGCTGGCGGCGCACCGGAGCCGCCACCGGCTTTTCGCCAGAAAAGACTTTTCTTTGTTCAATTTTCTCCATTTAGAAGGTGAAGAAAAAGAAATAAATAAAAGAAATAATTAAAAGTGAAGAAGAAAAGAAAGAAAAGCCTTTTCGGCTTCAGGCGCGCTCGCAGACTGTCCGAACCCGACTGTAGTGGAGGGCGCTTCCCACGGGATTATCAGGTAATTCTTTGCTTTTTTTTTTGAATTTTTTCGCTTTTTTGGAATTTTAATTCTTTTTATTTGCCAAATTCTTCTTTTTCAGCTTCAATACTGCAGAACAAGTGAAAAAAGTCCGCAAAATGCCTCAGTTTTCTCTCTCACCGAAACGCGAAACAGGCCTGTGCAGAAGACCGGTCTTGTGCATATTTCATGTTCAACCAGGAAAAAGGAAAGCTGTACAAATGCGCGGATCCTCAGGGGTTTGTTTTCAATTATGGAATTAAATTAATTTAAAATTAAATTAATTTGAAGTTAAATTAGTTTAAATTCAAATTAATTTAAAATTAAATTAATTTAAAATTAAATTAATTTAAATTTGAATTAGTTTAATTCAAAAGACGAGTTGATTTGAAAATTGAAACTCCAAATTTGCAGATTCACAAGAGCCTCCCCGAGCCCCTCGCAAGTCTTTTTTATTTTTTTTTTAATAATTAAATTTAAATAATTATTTAAATCATTTTATTATTCCGCAAGTCTTTTTATTTTCTCTTTTGAAATAAATAAATTGAAATAATTATTTAAATCATTTTATTATTCCGCAAGTCTTTTTATTTTCTCGTCTGAAATAATTAAATTTAAATAATTATTTTAATTCTTTTATTTTATTATTTTATTTTATTTTTTAATTTCACAGATGGGCCATTGGAGTAAAGCCCTCCACCATTGAAAGGTTTCCTTTGAAGTTTGAACTGAACAAACAGGCGAGTTGGGACTCAGTCGAATTTTCCTTTTATTTTTAAAATAAATTGCAATTTTATTTATTTTAATTAATTAAAATAATTAAATAATATTATTTAATTAAAATAATTAAATGGCATTATCATTAAGTAAAATAGCAATTAAATGAACTTCAGATAAAAAGTTGAATTTTCTCTTTATTTTCAAATATAAATTGCAATTTTGTTTTATTTTCAATCAATTAAAATAAATAAATAATATTCTTTAATTAAAATATTTAAATAATATTATTTAATTAAAATAATTAAATAATATTATTTAATTAAAATAATTAAATAATATTATTTAATTAAAATAATTAAATAACATTTAAAAGAACTTCAAATTAAAAGTTGAACTTCTTTTTTCACTCAGGCAATTTGCTCCAACGTGGTTGACCAGCGGATTGTTTCTTCCATAGACGAAGCCCTTTCTTTGTTGGTTTATAATTTAATTTAATTTAATTTAATTAATTAAATTAAATTAATTAAATTAAATTAAATTAATTAAATTAAATTAAATAATTAAATTAAATAATTAAAACAATTTAAATACTTTTATTTCCTCAATTCCACACAAGCTGGGCAGACACCGGAGCTGAACTCTTCACCCTCAACTTGAACCAGGGGGCCCCCGGGCCTTCAGTGGCCTCCATGGTGAAACCCTAAACCCTAAACCCTAAACCCTAAACCCTAAACCCTAAACCCTAAACCCTAGACTCAATTCGTGCTGCTGCACCTCTATTCAGGCCGCGTTTTACTGCAACGGAGTGACGGAGTGAGTTCAGACTTCAGCTCTGCGTCCCAAACCCTCGCGCCTAAACCCTAAACCCTAAACCCTAAACCCTAAACCCTCAACAGGAGCGCACAGAGAAACGGTAGGCGGCCCGGGAAACCCCCCAAACCCTTGCAAACCCTAAATGAGCGGAAACGCTACAGGTTTCATCACAGTGCAGCACGACCCCTCTAGGCGCCCGCTGCCACAAAAGGTAGCGAACCCTAAACCCTAAACCCTAAACCCTAAACCCTAAAAAATGGTTTGCAGACTTTCATTGCTCCCTGCGATGTAAATGGAAGTATTGTGCCGGACAACTTGCGAGTGGAAGAAGGACTTCTTCCGGGTAAGTGTTTGAGGTGTCTGTACACCTGAGTTCGAAAGCGCGGCGCGGCTCAGGCGAGATTGTGCGGGCGAAAAGAATTATTTAGTGATTTAAAAAGCTGAAAAAAAGCGGAATAAAGTTAAAAAGAATATAAAATAGTTTGAACTGCGAAAGTTGGAAAAAAAAAAGAAATTAAATCCACTTCGTTTCTCAAAAATCCGAAACTCTCCCCTTGTGCGCCCAGTCGCCGTACTGCGTCGGCTCGGGCCCTTTGTACTTAAAACCAAACTCCCCCTTCCCGTTGCTGCCATTCCAAACATCATTTCCGTTTTTATTTTCACTTTTATTAAAAATAAAATTCAAATTTTCATTTTCCAACTTTTCGCCTTTTCCCTCCCCCGAACCCGCGCGCTGCGGTGTACGTACACCCCAACCTGCGCCACCCACTCCCTCCAATTTCTTTTCTTCACTTTTTTTCTTCTTTTCTTTTTCAAGTCCAAAACTGCCAATTTTCATCAGACGCTCAGCAAGGGAAGCTGGCACCCGCTGCTTGCCTTTTTCTGCTGCTGCTGCTGCTGCAGCAGCAGCAGGAGCCGCAGCAGCAGCAGGAGCCGCCGCAGGAGCAGCGGGAGCTGCAGCAGCAGCAGCGGGAGCTGCAGCAGCAGCAGCAGCTGCTGCAGCAGGAGCAGCAGCAGCTGAGGTGTCTGGGGACGTCCCAAACCCTCGGCGAGCGCCACGCGGGGGCAGGTGGAGGCCTATGGACAGCAACACAAACCCCAAACCCTAAACCCTAAACCCTAAACCCTAAACCCTAGCAGCGGCGGACTCAGAGGGTTTGTGCTGCTCCTTTCTTTCCACTCCAACTCACCTTTTGCTTTTTCTTCCAAATAAATAAATGAAAATAAATTGAGTCCTCTCGAGGGCAGCGCAGACAGAAGGCGAGGGAAGCGGCGAAGATCAGCAGCAGCAGCAGCAGCAGCAGCAGCAGCAGCAGCAGCAGCAGCAGCAGCAGCCCGCGGCAGCGGCTGCGGCGGCATTTGGGGAATCTGTTGGTGTTTAGTTTTGTCTGAGTTTGTGTTTTGGGTTTGGAGAAAAAGAAATATATTTTTGAATTATTTATTTTAATTTTGCTTTCCACTTCGAGTCTGGCAGCTGCCGACGGAGTCCGCAGCAGCAGCAAAATGCTGCTGCTGCAGTCCGCAGCAAACTGCAGAGTTAACTTCTTTTTAATTACTGTTTTAGAGCTGCTGCAGCGGGAAAGGAAGCAAAAAGCAGCAGCAGCAGCAGCAGCAGCAGCAGCAGCGGCGGCGGCGGGACTGAAGCTGCTGCATGCATGCAGCTCGACTGTGGCGGTTGTTGAGGTCGAAAGAAAGCAGAAAGTGCTTTAATTCAAAAAAAAGAATTAAAATAAAGCAGAAAAGTATTTTTGAAACGAAGAAGTGGCAGCTTTCCCGTTTCTAGCCGCGGGACCGCGAGCTGTCTGTACACCTCAAAGAGCCGCGCCGTCGGCGGCGGCGGCGAAGCTCCCGTCACAAATGTCACTTCTGCTTTTTCCAATTTGAGAAGACAGTGTTATTTCTTTTGCATTTTGGAGGCAGAATGTCTTCAGTTTCTTTCTTTTTTCCGCAGAACATCCCCCGGAGCAGCAGCAGCGCCGCAGCAGCTGCTGCTGCTGCGTCTGCTTCCCTCTAGCTTTCCCTCAAGGACATTTTGCTGCCTTTTGGCATTTATTTTCTGCAAAGTCGAATCTTCTGTTGCTTTCTTTTTGCCTTTTGTTCTTCTTTCCCAAACATGAACTCCAGAGCGCCGCAGCTGCGCCTTTCCCCCTAGCAGCAAGTCAAGTTCAGAGGAAGCTGAACCCGCAGCAGCAGCAGCAGCAGCAGCAGCAGCAGCAGCAGCAGCAGCACAATGGCGTACGACCGCACTGCGGAGTTTGCTGCTGCAGCAGAAAGCTTCCACTTTGCTGCCAATCCTCCTGCTGCAGACCCTCGCCAGCCCTTCTCTGATGCGGACAAAAACTTCAACTTAATTGCAAGTGATATGGGAAATAGTTTGCATGCAACTTCGTTGAAGCTGCAGGAGCTGGCCAAGTGTACGTACACCTCAGCGCCTGCGCCTCTTTGCTGCACTTGGGGTTTTGTTTTCTCATTTCTTTTTTATTTCAACTTTTATTTCTTTTTTTGTTTTTCATTTCAACTTTTATTTCTTTTTGTTTTTAATTTCAACTTTTATTTCTTTTTTGCGTTGCTGCGCAGTGGCGAGACAGTGCGGAATCTACAACGATAAAACTGCCCAGATACAGGAACTCACTTTCGAGATCCGAAAGGTAAGCGAGGGTTTAGGGTTTAGGGTTTAGGGTTTAGGGTTTAGGGTTTAGGGTTTGTGTCTTTGTGCTCCCTTCGGAGCCTGCCGCAGCCGTCGGCCGCTTCTCTCAAGAGGCCAGTCTCCGGGCCGTCAGTTGGGGGTTCGTGGCGTAGGGTTTAGGGTTTAGGGTTTAGGGTTTAGGGTTTAGGGTTTGGGGTTTGCGTTGCAGACGATAAACACTTTGAACTGCAAAGTGGACACTTTGGAGAAAGCTGCAGCAGCAGCAGGAGTCAGCGGACAGTCGAAGCAGCATTATATAACTGTCACGGAAGTTCTAAAAACGAGATTGTTGGATGTGACAAAAGAATTCAAAGACATCCTCATGCTCAGGACTGAGGTGAAGCTCCTAAACCCTAGTTTAGGGTTTAGGGTTTGGGGCGTAGGCTTTAGGGTTTGGGGTTCTGCAGAGGTGAAGCACCGCAGAGATCGCGCGGGGGCTGGGGTTTAGGGTTTAGGGTTTAGGGTTTAGGGTTTGGCCGCCGGGCACTCAAACAGCTAGGGTTTAGCGCGTAGGGTTTAGGGTTTAGGGTTTAGGGTTTAGGGTTTGACTGGCGGGTTTGCAAGCCAGCCCCACGAACTGCGGAGGCAAAAATCCGGAGTGAAGGGTTTAGGGTTTAGGATGGAGTTTTGCAAAAAGATAAAAATAAAATAAAATAAAATTAAATAAAATTAAATTAAATTAAAATTAAAATAAAATAAAATAAAATAAAATTAAATTAAATTGTAATTAAATTAAATTAAATTAAAATTAAAAAAAATTAATTCGGATTTGTTTGTTTGTTCAACTGGCGCTGCAAAACATTTTCAAAGTTATTAAAAATTGCCAATTTAGAAGCAGCAGCACAGCAAAGCTAATTCGAACCAAATAAACCAAATTAAATTAATTTAATTAAATTAAATTAATTTAATTAAATTAATATAATTAATTAAATTAAATTAAATTAATTAAATTAAATTAAATTAAATTAATTAAATTAAATTAAATTAAATGTTCTTTTCAACTTTTCAGAATCTGAAAAGACAAGACAAAAGACGCAATTTGTATTCTTTCGGCGGCGACTCGGGCACTGCGGAGGCGGAGGAGATGTACGACATTGAGGGGTAAAAATAATTAATTTTAATTTGAGTTTTTAATTTATAATTTTTAATTTATTTTGAAATAATTAATTGTTTAAATTTATAATTTATAATTTATTTTGAAATAATTAATTGTTTAAATTTATAATTTATAGTTTATTTTGAAATAATTAATTGTTTTTTAATTGAAAATAAACATTTTATTCTTCAGAGTGTGGCATAGAAGGGTAAAGAAGAAGAATTAGATTTATTTGGAGTTGTTTAAAGTTTATTCGGAAAAAAATGAATGTTTTATCTTTTTAATTCAAAATAAACATTTCATTCTTCAAAGTTTGACATAGAAGGGTAAAGAAAGAATTAGTTTTAATGTGAATTTTTAAAATTTGTTTTTTGAAATAAATGAGCTTTTTTTGATTCAAAATAAACATTTTATTCTTCAAAGTGTGACAGAAGGGTAAAGAAGAAGAATTAGATTTAATTGGAGTTATTTAAAGTTTATTTTTTGAAATAAATGAAAGTTTTATCTTTTTAATTGAAAATAAAACATTTTATTTTTCAAAATAATGAAATCAGAACTGCCTTTGAGGCTCTCGATTCTGAAATGAGGAAAGGAAAAAGTTGAACAAACAGCTTTCCACCTTTGGGTTTCTTTTTTATGGAGTTTTATGCATTTATTTATTTTATTTATTTTATTTAATTTAATTTATTTATTATATATAAAATGGCTTTTTAAAATGCCAAAAAGAAAAAAGAAAAACGCCAAAAAGCTGCTGCTGCTGCTGCTGCTGCTGCTGCTGCTGCTGCTGCGCTGGTTCTTGCTTCTCTGATCTCTTGAACTACAGCGAAACCTTTATCGCCAAATATACAAATTATTTATTTATTTATTTATTTATTTATTTATTTATTTATTTATTTATTTATTTATTTATTTATTTATTTATATTACTTATTTATTTATTTTTCAACTCAGGGGCCAACGGACTACTTTGGTGTCTCGGCCGGCAACTGCGTATTCTCAAGCCCGAGCAGAAGTCCGTGAACAGCAGCGCAGCAGCAGCAGCAGCAGCAGCAGCAGCAGCAGCAGCAGCAGCAGTTTTTTGTCGTTTTTTTGTTTTCTTTTTGGCATTTAAACAAACCATTTTAAATTCCCGAGTTTATTGTCTTATCGAGGAACAAAAGGTCTTGCAAATGATGCAAAAGTGGGAAAAAAATCCAAAAGAAAAGAACTTGAATAGTTTTTTTTTGCAAGTTTTTTCTTTTTGTGCAGGCCGTAGAAAACGTCCAGCGAGTGATTGGCGAACTCGCCAGCATCTTCCAAAGAGTGGCAACTATGATAGCTCATCAGGAAGAAATGATTCAAAGAATTGACCAAGACATCGACACTTCCATGTACCACATCAGAGAAGGTGCCTCAACCCAGCAGCGAGCAACACACCCAGCTAGCCAGCTAGCTAGCTAGCGAGCCAGCTAGCCAGCTAGCTAGCCAGCGAGGTAGCTAGCCAGCTAGCTACCTAGCTAGCTAGCTAGCGAGGTAGCTAGCCAGTTAGCTAGCTAGCGAGGTAGCTGGCCAGCTAGCTGGCTGGCTGGCTAGCTGGCTGGCTGGCTAGCTAGCTACAGAGCTGCCCACTCGTTAGCTGGCCAGATTCCCAGCTAGCGATTTGGCTAGCTAGAGAGCGAGCAATTTTCACGTGAAGTCAAATTCCTATAAATGCGTGCGAATTTGCATTATCTTGATTGTTTTTCTTTTCTTTTATCTTCATGTCCTTGTGCCTCCTACTCTTTACAAATGCCTGCGCAATTTTCCTTTTCATTCCATTATTTTTCTGTCTTTCAAGGCATTTATTATGTGGCTAGCCAGCTAGCCAGCTAGCCAGCTAGCCAGCTAGCCAGCTACTTACCTTTTTGTGTCTTTTGTTTGTTTCAGGCCAAAATGAACTCTTGAATTTTTACAACAGGATTTCCTCCAACAGATCCCTCATCATCAAGGCAAGGCAGCACATTTCGTTGGCTAGCTAACTGGCTAGTCTTGACTGGCTATCTAGCTAGCCAGATAGCTAGCTAGGTAGCTAGCTAGCTACCCAGCTGGCTAGCTAGCAAGCTGCTACTAGCCTCCTAAGCGTTTGCAAGGCTGGCTAGCTATCTGGCTAGCTAGACATCAGCGCAGCTAGTGTGAACTTGTCTTTCTTATTCATGTTTTCCGTAATTTGCAGTTTGGTTTTTAATTTTTTGTTCATTTATTTATTTGTCTGTTTCGTCTGCAGGTTTTTCTGTTGCTGATGGCCTTCATTTTGTTTTTTGTTTTCTTCTTGAGCTGACTTCGGCAGAATTTTCTTTTTCTCCAATCATGCATGCAATCATGATGTTGGAAAGCTGCGGCCGAGTAAGCTGCTGCTGCTGTTGCTGCAGCAGCAGCTGCTGCAGCAACACGAGCTGCCGGCTTTCTTTAGAAGGGTTCGCCTGCTACTTCAGCTTTCTGAAACCCGAAATAATTCCTTCTCGTTCATTTTCATTCAAGTTCTTCAACTTAGACTCTAATTGTGAAACTTTAACTTCTAGCCATCAAATTTGGATTCCTAAATTAATGTTCCTTTGCACCCGCCACACAGGTGGCCGTGACAGGAATGCAGCAACAGTTGGAGTGTTTCTAGGGTGTCAGGGGCAGCATTTTGCATGGTTTTTGCATCTAAAAGCATTAATATTAACATTTTTACGTTTATTTGGTCAGTAAATCCCCAAACTGCTTCGAAATGAGCCCGAAAGCTGGCTCAAACGGACTGCTTTCCTTCTACTGATGGGTAGCCGCTGCAGCGCTCCCAGGCAGAGGCCGCAGCAAACTGACTGCACGTTAGCCGCGCTGCGTGGCTGAGTGACCCCAGAAAAGAGCCCCAAAGGCTGCGCTAATAAACAAATAATTCACTTTTGTGGGGCTTTAGGAAGCAGCAGTGCGAGGGAGCAGCGAATGCGGCAGGAAGCGAGACGCGGAATCTTGAAAAGCCACTCCAAGGGCCCTGCAGAGTGAAGAGTTCACTTCGTTTCTCTTTTGCATCCTTTTTTAGTGTTGTTGCACCACAATTAAGAACAAAGGACTCATTTATGCGTTTCTCTACGGAGCAGCAAATGCAGAAAGGTGCAATACAGGGCGGCTTGAAGAACCACGCCGAGGCTACCTGTGGCTCCGCAGGGGAAAGGTTTATTTCGTTCTCTTTTGAAAGTTTACTTTTTGTCCATCTACTCCGCTTTGCAATAACTAATTGCATTCGTCTTGAAGGTTTATTTCGTCCTGTTTTGAAAGTTTACTTTTTGTCCATCTACTCCGTTTGCCAATGACTAATTGCACTCGTCTTCTAATTCAGGTAGGGCCTCAGCCTAGGCATAAACTTGATAACAATACTTATTGACAGTGCCGTGGACTTGGCTACGTGATTACAATTAGGTGAATGTTGAATACGACTTTACAATGACAGTAAGACGCTCTCGTGTCCTCGTAATTTGCAAAAACGTGGAGTCGCGATCGCTTTTCATGGGGAGCTCACTCAGCTATCTGACATATGAATCTGAAATTACTTCGAGTACAGACTTTTAGTTGAGCAGCTGATACGAAGACTTGTATTAAGGCCAGATGAGTACTTAGAATGATAAGTTCACCAAGCCTATTGGACAAGTGGAAAAAAGCTTTGAGAGCATTTCAAAGCTCACTCTCAGAAGTTGCCATATACCTTCAGTCTTTAAGCTACGATAAGTTCAAAAACCAGTTCAAATAAATACTTATCGTAACAAGATCATTGAGCCAAAGCAGCTGGCGCGCAAGACGTGTAACGCTCAGGGAGAGCCAGCTTTTCTTGAAAAGCGTTCAACTGAGTGAGCAGTAGTGTCAAAAGCCGACAGACATTCATTGAAAAAAAAAACCCAGAAAGCAAAAATACGTGGCCCAGCCATCTCTAGGATATGAAAAACAGACTTCGCGAACATTCTGTGCAGTGCAAGTCTAGAAAACAGGCCGCAGCAAACGCCAAGCTGCTGCTGCTCATGGAAAAGCTGCACCACACTGCATCGGAGAAGTCTTGTGCCTCCATGGGAACACTTTGGAAGCAGCACGACAAGGGCCCGTGTACAAAAGCTTGCTCTGCAGAGCTCTTTTGTTTACCCCGGGTCCCAGTTGTGTTCTTCATTGGTATTCCTTAGGAAACAGGAAATGGCCACAGCCATGGGCACAGTTCTGTTTGTCGACAATGAAGTGTTTTCCGACGCCACCGAACATCGGCGCTCAACAAATGAGTTGACGTACTCACTGCAGCGGCGTCGCATCAAAATATCCCTTAAATGACTTGCACTGCAAATGCAAAATGCCACAGCATACTTGTTGAAACTGCTGGTCGAGTAAAGATTGCACTCAAGCTATTCACCCCGCGCAAGCAGGTGCAAAGTGAAACGTGAATTGCATGCTAGTACACGGCTGCTGCGTATTTTGTTCAAGTATCTTGAAATGCGTGAATAAAAGATCTCATCCAGCCACATGCACCCTTAATTACAAAGTTACACAGGAACAAGCTCACGGGAAACGTTGCACCCAACGCTGAACGTATTGTTTACTGTTGCCAAGCAGCTGAATGCATACTTTCCTTCCTAGCCCTTCCTTCTGGATTGCACGCGGTAGCCTAGCCGCACGACCACTTTAAAAGCACTTTCAATATTTATCAGAGACCCCTGGGGCTGAAACCAGTTTCTGCGAGCAGCTGTTATTTACAAGTGAAGACTTGGATCGCCGGGCTATGCCGAAAGAAATTCAGCCCCTCGCGCCAGTCTTAATAATCACGATGGTTTCTGCGCAATCTGACTGACTCCAGCTCGTGCCTGGCAGCTGACAAGTCTGCTCAATAAAGCTAATTCAAAGAAAGCCGCAACGGGCCAAGCACGCCTCAGCAGCTCACCGAACTGTGACCTGCTTGAATTGTGCAACAACGAGTGCTGATGCATATCCGACCGTCGACATGCGCACACGCATGGCGATTAGGCCGCTTGCCACTTGGTTTAGTAATGGACTTAGTCGCACCTCTCGAACAAACATGTTAGTAATGCTTCCGGCTAGCCAGAGAACCAATGCCAAGTAGTGCCCCGCAACGGCCGGCTACAAGCGCGTTGTTGCTGCAGACCGAATCGTCTCTATTAAATTCCTTGATTTAGAGATACCAGGATAACTCATTTTGCATCCACGATACTGCAGCGCACTGCGGGAGTATGCCTTTCATGTACAGCACGATTTTTTCATTGCAAAATTGCGCTGTACACCTCGTGCGTCACAAGAAACTGCTGGCCTGCAAGCTTCTACACGAACGTCTCAGTTCCTGTTCCACAAAGTCCCGGCTTGGCAACCCACACAGATCGTCCTGGAGACATTAGGACAAAAGCTATGACGAAATTTAGCTTGTCAGCTGCCTGCAAAGTGCAAGAAAACTAGAAAGGGCGATTTGCTGCGGACAGCATGCGCCGTGCGCCGTTTCACGTTGCAAATGAGTGCGTCAAAGGTTTTGGCAGCCAACCAGAGCGGCAGCATTGTCTCACCGTCCACTGAAGTGTTTCTTAACAGTGCATGCTTCACAAGCCTGACGTGCTGGTATCCCAACTGCTTCAAGAAGCCACGTCAACAAACGTGAAGCACAGCCGCTGGCTACTTCTGCATGAAATGCCGCAGCGCAGCAGCAGGTTCGCCGAGCACTACACCCCAAGCGTTGCAGCTCACTCACAATCCACCACGAAGATCTTCATCAGATGATCTACACGCACTGTAGAGGGATGTACGTGTTCTAATATGATCAGGTTAGCTCCAGTCGTCACTGTTCCAAGAATGTTCGAGCTTCACGTAACACACCGATTGTCTTCGGCATTGCACAAAGAAGCACGTAGGCTTGAAGCTAGTGAGCCTGCTTCATCCAAGTTCTGCAGTGCAATTAGTGCTTCATAAAGACATCACACTTCATCTCACATTACAGCAAGGAGCACATAAGATTTTCGTCAACGCCCCGTGTGCAAGACAAACCGTGTTTCATAACACAGCCACACTTCATGTGACGTCACATCAAAATGGTTCAAAAAGTTTGGCAGTCGATGTGTGGAGGAAAGTTGCCACGCCACATACAAGAAGATTTCAAATAGAATAAAAAGGTACGCGTAAGCCCTGCTGAAGAAGTTGCATTAACTAAAGACTGACACTCTGGTAGGGCACGAAGGAAGAGCTAGGCCGACCACTAGCCAAAAGTCTGCATCAAGCTTGGCCCACAAGACAAGTGTTGTTCCGCGAAAATATTGCAATTCACACGACTTTCTGAGAGAGCGTACCAAAGAATCTGGCAGTCATCGTGTGGAGCATCACTGCCACGGCATTCACATAGACACCTTTGAACGCTGCCACAGATTCAGAAATCCTTGGGCCTTGCACACTGAAGAACATCACACAGCCCACACTGGCCTGGAGGGCAGCGACCAGCAACAGTCCCACTAAAAATGTGCGCGCGCTCGTTTTTAAACAGAATAGTAGGGCTCAAACGTCAAAAGGCGTGTGAGAACTGTCGGAGAATGCTGTTTTGGCTGATCTCTCGCGCAGTATATACTCTGATGCCAATGTTGCACTAAAATTAGCGTCATGGCATTGGCCACCATTTTATCAAGCTTCAACTTCACAGTGCAAACGACGTTTTTCGAAAGATACAGGACGTGCCACTTGAGCATCACGCTTGTACAAAAGCTCTTCAACTCATGAGCTGCTGTACAAAATGGGGTTCATGATAGCGGCGAACTTGATATCACATTACAACAAAACGCGCTAAGGACTTCCGCCTTCAGCGTGCAGATCCTCATTGTTGCATCATATATACTGCCATTATTCAACATCTTCCGCTCAGCAACGAGTAGACTCTGCAGGCAAATTTGCATCAAGCAACCATATCAACTGGCGTGGACGGCAACGGCCAGCCAGCAACAAATATAACAATGGCGCTTGGTGCTCCGCAACAGAGCAGTAG